CAGTATTATTACAATATACTCTGACAAAAATATAATCTCATCTCATATCAATACAACAAAAAAACAGTTTCCTGTACTGTTACCATTGCTAACATATTGAAACTTGCTATTTACAATTACAGTAGCCAGGTAAAATACTACACGCGAACGATCTGAGTGAGGAGGGAAGAGGCGGATGGGATGGGGAGAGAGCGGGAGAAGAGACAGAGGCAGGGCCCTCTCTATGAACCGGCCATGGCTTCTGGCTGTCACTTGGTTGGAGGGAGGTGATGAGTACGTAACATGGGGTGGTTTTTTGGTAACGTGGGGTGGTTTTTTGGGAGCAAGGGGGATTTCTTTCTGCCAGGGACAGTGATGCAGGACGGGGGAGGAAGGAAGGATGCAATGAGGCGAGGAAATGGATGAAAACATCGGGCCAGGCCCCCAGATGGGGTGGGCTGGCTCCAATGGTTGATAACAGAGAAGGGGGGTGGGGTAATGGTATCTTCTCGGCTCTCCAAAGATTTGAGGGGTGTAGGTTGTAGCCGTGTTGGTCTAAGGACGCAGGCAGACAAGGTTCTTTGGGTAAATCTGATGTCTTTTACTAGATCAACTCAAAGTGTTGGGAAAATTCTTCTTTGCAAGCTTCAACCTTCGTCAGGCTGAGGGTGTTTGTGCCCGAAAGCTTGCAAGGAAGAATTCTTCCAACTCTTTGAGTTGGTCTAATAAAAGATATCAGATTTTGACCCAAAGGACCTTGTCTGCCAAAGATTTGAGGGGCATTCGTGGTTAGTTGCTTACCCAGCTCTGTCTAGGTTGGTGGCTGTCTTCCCAGCGCAGGGAGGTACTGGACAAGCCAAGCTGGCTGGAGACCCTCAGACCTGGCGCTGCCCCCCAGCAAGGCAGCTTTGGGGTGCAGGAGAAAAGCAGGATCAACTGACCTCATCTCTCCTGATGCCCCCACTCCTCCAGCTGCCACAAGAAGGGGCCTCAGGGCAGCGGTGAGGCGTTCCCAAACCCCTGCCACGCTTCGGGCTGTTTTCTGGAGTCTCCTTTGTGTCTTTTAGAGTAACGAGTGCTTCACCTTGATCCTCTCCACGTGCCCTGTGGGTCTAACACATGGGTCAGCCCTTGTGAAACAGTGCCCTGTCGGTGCTGGATTCACTGCCCCACGTGGCACCCCACCTCACACGAGGGGCTGGAGAAGAGTAGCCATGCGATAACCACGATGGCATTGGCCACCTCATGGTTGATGCTGTCCCCAAGCAGACAGGGCCTCTGATATGCTTGGGACAGCTATGGTAGAGGGCGGTAAGCCTCACTCCAGCAACTGGTCCATGCAAGGGATAACAGCCTACTGCTACTACCAGCTAAAGAAGCTACTCCTTAAGGGTAGAGGGGCTATGTGCTGGGTGCCCGGGTACTTCTGCAAGGCCTGAGGGGAAAAATGGGTAGGGGAGTCTAGACATGAGTGTGGGGCAGGTATTTCATCAGCTGGGAGCCCCCTTTCAGCCCCGAAGTCTGCGTTGGGGCTGGTCTCAAGCACATCCCTCTACTTTGGGCACAACGTCCCTATCCCAGTCCTGCTTGGACCAGTGTCAGATCTGTCCTTAAAGCCACCACACTACCAGCCTTCCCTGGCTCTCGCACCCCACCCTCCCATACAACCAGAAAGTCCTAAATCAACCCAGACACGGAGCCAGAGCAAGAAAGAGCCGTCACCAGGCAGCTCCCCAAATGGCTTCCTTCCCCCTCGCTCTGGGATGAGTTTGGCAAACTGAATTTCAGGCCAGTGAAGAAATCCCAGTTGGGATGCTTAGCATGGGCCCACCATCTCCAGATCATGCCCTCAATATGCAGGCAGGAGGGGATGAAAGGGTGGGAAGGGGAAGATCACCATGAAATGAAGAATGGCATGGGATGAGGGGAAAAATGCATCTCAGACCTTCCTGCAACCCGAAAAGCAACTCTCATCGGCTCCATCGGGAGACAAAACCGTGTAAATTTTTGCTCTCAGACCTTCTAGTGGCTTGGGGCATTACTGGAGAGAGCTGGCAGCCCCCTGGACGCTCACACACCTCACGCTTCCCCTGCCATCTCTCTCAACAGAGTTCAGCAAAGGGAAGCCAGCGCTCCCCGCCACCTCCATTCGCTCAGGGATGCGCCGTTTCACAGAGCTGGCTCTAGAGCTGGTGGAAATGTTTTGTATTTCTCCCCACTTTTATCCTTTCCTCAGGGAAAAAATAATTTCAAGCTAGCCCCACTGTGTTGTTTTTTTAAAAACTGTTATGGAATTTTCTATCTAAAACCCAATTTTTAAATTTTTTTCAAATCAGTTTTGGAGATGGTTGACACCCCTTTTTTGAAAGGTAGAATCAGCTACTTTTATTATTATTCCTTTTGCCCCTGCAAGTACCATTGACTTTTTCAACCAGCTCTAGCTTACATTGTATTTGGTGACCCCTCCCCAACATGACCTGATGGCTAGCAGCATGGTGTGATAATTGCATCACTGGGGGGGTTTCACATCTGACCCTCGATATGCAAAATTTCAGACAGCCTGGAAATCAGTAAGGGAGTTTTTCTGGCCACACCAGAGGGAACAAATGATGGTGGCAGAACCCAATTTGGAGAGATTTCACTTTGCAATCCAGTGATACCAAAATGCTGCTGGCTTCTCAAAGTGGCGTAAATCTGCATAGCTCCAATCACTCTGATTGACCCCAGCCATTTTTTGGGGGGTGGGAGGGACAGGTAAAATGTTGCCTGGCCACGCAGAAGATGGATGCCAGACTGGAATCTATCCCAAAGTCCTGAGTGTGCTGCTGCTTTGCAGTTCTGTGCCATATATTGTCATTGGGGGTGTTGGTTGTAGCTGTGTTGGTCTAACGACATAGGCAAAGACCAATTTTTCCAACTACTTAGTTGATCTAAGAAAAGATACCTCATTTACACAAAGAACCTTGTCTGCACGCATTGCACTCATGCAGCATCTGCAGGCCAGCCCGTCCATGCAGCCACGCTTGATACCTGCTTTGCACTAGCATCAGTGACTCATCTCACAAGATTTTGGGCAGCTGAGAACTGGTCTTCCCTACGTCCCCTGGCACCGGGCTGGGCTCCTCAGAGAGGCCAATAACAAAATCTGGATCCAAATCTAACGGTAGCATCTGAAGGGGTTTCCGCAGGACTCTTTCCTTTAGTGCAAATGGTTCCCTATGGAACGGGTGAATGGACCATTGGATAAAAGCATTAGGCACTGGACTATCTATCCATGTATATCTGTTCAGTCACTTATAGCTAGAATCTGCCATGACATCAAGGCCCCTTTTCAGCGTCCTGGCTGTGACCTGGTGTCTCAAAAGTGAGCTGAACCTAACTTCTTCTCTGATGCTGTTTTTAACTGCCGGAGCAGTGGAAATGGACTGTAAGACGCACCAGACTCAGGCCTGCTGCATTCCCACCCCGGTCTTTCTTTCCCTTTAGCTGCATTTTTTTAACTTATTCCCTTCCTTCTGCCATTCTCACATGGGAGGCACCAACTCTGTTTATGCCTTTTATCTGTAAACCCCATTTGGAAAATTTGGAAAAACACGGATCTCTGAAATTTTGCATACGTCTCTATCCCCTGTCCCACTTCAGAGGCAAAGGGATGAAAGCCGGACACCACGTTTTTTTCCCTAGGGGAGGACAAACAATAGCACATGAATTTTGAAGTGGCCTAAAACATTCAGAAGCCTTAGGTTGGCCGAGTTTTGCCAAAACTGTATGGACCAACATGGCCTGCCCCAACGAACAGCCTCCGTCAGGGACAGATATACACATCCCGGGGTTGAAACTCAGAGCAATCACAGTTCCAAATTGCTACAATTCCCATGAATATCATAATTGCCTTGGATGCATCAGCATGAAACTCCCCATCCCAAATATAGGCCATTTTAGTTCTGGATGAAATCTGATTTCAAACAGGCTTTGAGTACCCCTGAAATCTGTTGCCAATGGCCCCATGACCCAACCCTGAAAGACAGTTTTGTCTTTTTTGCCTCCTGATGGGTTAAAAAAAAAAAACAAAAAACCCAAGCAACCCTCAAGTCTTTGATGGAACATTTAAAACTATCATCAACATTTTTTCGTAACTGAGGAGGCTCTGTCCTAAATGTTTGGGGCTGATGAGAGAGGTACCACTTGAAAGCAAAACCCCACATCTGAGTCGCTCCAGAAGAAAACCAGTTATCCTAAGGACTATGCACACTGCTCTGGAAGGATAAGAGGGGTATAATGTGAGTGCAATGGCATACACCCTTATTTGCACAACCACAGCAATGTAAAGAGGTCTTAACATAACTGTATGCCAGGCACTGCCTATTTCACCCCGGAGTATGCATGTTGAAGGATCCATACAGATCTCAAGAAAGGTAAAGATCAGAAACAGACTTTGGTAAGTAACCACACTTTTAGAAAGTAATATATCATTTTTTGAAACATATCAGTGCATACTTCTTATATGAAAATATACACAATTGTATTTCATTCTCCAAAAAGGAACAATTAAAAACAAAAAAGCAAACTAGCCAAACACAATATATTAGCTGTTTTTTTTTTGTTGTCATCATCGTTTAAAATTCTTTAACGCTACACTTTGTTCAGATTACACTTTTTTTGTCTTTTTTTGTAAATGTTTTTTTCTTCATGCATTTTACACCTTTTATAGCCTTTGAGAATAAATAAGCTCCATTTTGCTTTCACATCTCTAAAAACTGCAGCATTTTTAACTATTGTCATTTAAACCGTGCAATTTTTTTTGTTTGCAACACCCCTTTTAAA